AATTGGATAAAATTAAGGGAGAATCAAATATTTGATAAAATGTAATAATATTAACAAAAGAAGGGAGCATATATAAGAATAGAACATGGAAAAGTGCATATCCAAATGTAACATAAATTTCTTATAAAGTAAAGGAAAGCGTCCAAATTGAGGGGGGAATTTGAATGTAGTAAGAAAGTTCAACAAGGTAAAGTTTGGGCCACTTGCAGCAAATGGAAAAGTGCAATAATGCTAGAATGAAAGAAAATAATAAAATATATCTAAAATAGAACCAAGAAATCCCGAAAAAATCTTCAAAGCCTAGTTGACGTGGGGTTAAAACCACAGTCTAGTTGGTTGGGATATAGGAAAAACGAATTGGTTTTAATAAATACCCCAAAATATATTAGCTAGGTTAGGTAAGCATTTACCCAGAAAAAAAAATCCAACGAAACCAGTCTTGCGATCTATGCAGCCATTCCATCCCGATTAGGAGAGCAATGATTTTGCTGAGCATCACCAGTTCAGCCCAACTTAGGAGAGGCTGCCGTCTGGATAATTTCAATGTAGTGCCAGCAACGATGTTGACAGGAGTATAAGTGGTAGCTTGGCCAGATATGGTGAAGGCGAATCTTTTTATCAGCCCTTTAAATGCTCCCAATAAATTAAGGATGCAGTCGGCTATGCAGGACAGACCACTTATCAGTCTCTGGAACAGCCGACCAAGGGCAATTAATAAGACAGTTGAAACATGCACCAGAGACCGCCTAGCAACGCGGAACCATTCAGAGACATTGGCACCTGTCATTAAAGGAGCGGTCATCGGACAGAAGAGGCTAGTTGCAAGACGAACAAGACAGGGCGGTTGCGCCGGATCGTCGGGCCATAAGTGACGCCGGGCTGACCAGCCCGAAGCACAAAAAGAGCGAGATCGTGAGGATGGGCTACTCCGAATAATGCCATTAAGGCCATTACTTGGAATTACAGAGGGAGCGGAAGGCGAGCTAATTGATATGATTGAAGGTTCGGCTACAAGTTGACTGGGCTTGGAAGAGCTGCCGAGATTGTAAGTATACTCGGAAGTTCGGACCGCACCAGAACCCAGATCATGATCATGCAGAATATTCATTGAGAATCGACTGGTCATCTTGGAAGAGTGGAAAAGGTTGTCTAGAGATTGACAAAGGAGACTACCAGAGGGAGATCGGCGAGTAAGTAGAGCTGAAGGGAAAAAAAGAAATGTGATGTATGCAAGTGGAAGATTTTGCGTGCAAGAAAACTTTAAAACCAAAATGAGGCTAAACTAGGTCATTTCAATCAAAGTTGAATATCAATAAATCTTAATGAATCATCCGATGAGTTGTATGAAGTTCTATAAAAGTAAAATAACAAGAATTAAGGGATTCATAGAAACTCAGATTTCTTAATAGCTCCTCTTTCATTCATAAGCTGCGCAACCGATAAAAATTGAACACAGTATCTCCTATATTGAAAATGGTTAACGGGACGCAAGGGGAGCTAAACAAAATACTTTTCGACAGCCAGATACAGAAATTGGGGCTGAAAAAATATCATTGTTAACTTAAATATGGTCTTCTAGCTAAGAAAAAAGCAAAT